GAAGTGCATACTAGAGCACCAAAGGAATTTAATTTACCTGATAATGCGTATATAAAATGGAAATCAACACCACTAAGAGGTAGAAAACACAATTTTATAATAGGTATTGACTTATTAAACCATTTGAACACCATGATAAATCTGGTGGATGGAAAAATAACTTTACGTGAAAAAGAAACAAAATTTGTAAACAACCCTTTTAATTTTAAAGAAATTTGTGCGTTGGAAGTGACAAATGATAAAATTAAAGGAATACAGTTAGAGCATTTAAATACAGAAGAGTATAAAGAAGTAGCCAAACTACTAAAAACATTTCAAAAACTATTATTTAAAGAGGGTGAAAAGTTAACGAGCACCACAGAAATTCAACATGAAATTAGGACCACTACGGACGAGCAAATAAACTCGAAATTATACAGATACCCACCACAACATGAAGAGGAAGTTCGTAGGCAAATTAAAGAGATGGAGGAGCAAGATATTATAAGAAAAAGTAATTCCAGTTACTCCAGTCTCTTATTGGTAATCCCAAAGAAAATCGATAACTCAGGAAAAAGAAAGTACAGAATAGTAGTAGATTATAGAAGATTGAACGAGGTAACAATCGATGATAAATATCCGTTACCTAACATTGATTCAATATTAGATAAATTGGGACGTGCCCAATACTTCACGACACTAGACCTTGCTAAGGGATATCATCAAATTACAATTAAAGAGGAAGACAGGTGCAAAACTGCGTTGGTTACACCTCATGGTCTGTATGAATTTACAAGGATGCCATTTGGGTTAAAGAACGCACCTGCAACCTTCCAGCGTCTTATGAACGAAATTCTTCGAGATTTCATAAACAAGACGTGTGTTGTTTACTTAGATGACATTCTAACTTTCAGCACAACGTTGCAGGAACACATAAAGGCAATCAAAGGTATTTTTAAGGTCCTAGAGAAAAAAAAATTAAAAATACAAGTGGACAAATGTAATTTTTTAAAGAGAGAAACTGAGTTCTTAGGACACGTACTAACGAAGGAGGGTATGAAGCCTCACCCAGATAAAATAAAAGTTGTAGAAGACTTAGAACTACCTAGAACAGAAAAAAAATAAAGAGTTTTTTGGGTATAACAGGGTACTACCGAAAATTTGTCAAAGATTACGCAAAGGTAGCGCAACCAATTACGAAATATTTAAAAAAGGGAGTAAGAATCAACACTAAGGACCCTTCTTACATAGAAGCTTTTGTTAAGCTCAAACAATTAATTAGTTCACACCCAATTTTAAGATATCCAAATTTCGAAAAAGAATTTACATTAACAACTGATGCATCAAATTATGCAATTGGCGCTTTTATATCACAAGAAGGACACCCAATTTGCTATGCATCAAGAACGCTAAATAATCACGAACGAAACTATTCAGCTACGGATAAGGAACTCTTAGCTATTATGTGGAGCGTGAATTACTTCAGACCATATTTGTACGGAAGGAAATTCGAAATTGTAACAGACCACCAACCCATAAAATTTTTACACTCTAAATACAGAGGAAAGGACATGTCACCACGTCATCAGAGATGGTTATTAAAACTAGGAGAGTATCAATTTGACATTGAATATTTGAAGGGTAAGGAAATAAAGTAGCCGATTTCTTGAGCAGAATAGAACATAGTGAAGAAAATACGGGCGAAAATATTGAATACGACCTGAACATAATCGACGATCTCGAGGATGATGCGTCAATGCAAACGGTCCATTCAGCTGAAGAAAATTTGCATGATCATTTTTATATCAAAGAAGAGATAGTCAACAAATATAAAACACAAATTTGTTTAACAAATAAAAGGACAGAAGAGCTAAAAATGATACATGGGAAAAGAATTATTTTCGTTTCGGAATATGATTTTGGTAGACTAGGTGATATATTTAGGAAATATATAACAAAGGGAAAAGTAGGAATTTTTTCAGAACTATCTGAACGGCAATATAATGTAGTTCAAGAAAAGCTCATAGAAATGTTCTCTAACGATAAACAATTAGAGTTTATAAAGTGCACAATGAGAGCACAGGATATCGAAACTGAAGTCGAAGCGGTCAAACAAAGTTCGCTATATCATGTTAGGGAAAGCTTACATTCTGGTATACAGGAAACGTATAACCAACTTAGAAATAAAATTTACTTTCCGAAATTAGCAGAGCTAATACAAATAGTAATCAACCAATGCGAAACATGCCAAGAAGTTAAATATGACAGGAGACCAATCAGACCAAAATTATCGCATACGGAAACACCCACAAAAAATAATGAAATTATGCACATAGACACCTATGTTAAAAAATATTAAATTTTTTAACAATGATAGTTAAATTTTCTAAGTATGGAGTAGCATATCCTTTAAATGACAGAAATCATATTACCATCATTGAACAACTGGAAGACTACTTTACCAAAATAGGAAAACCATGTAAAATAATAGCAGATAATGAATTTAATGCGACAAGGATTAAGGAATTTCAAAGCAATGAAAATATAGAACTTCATCTAACCAAACCCAACAGCCATACGGGTAACGCACACATTGAAAAATTCCATAATACCATTTCAGAAAAGTTTAGAATGCTATATAAATTAAACAAAGACATATCAGTTAAGCAGTTAATATAAAAAGCTATTATAAATTATAATGACAGGTTTCATTCTACAATAAAATTCACACCTAACGAGGTTCATAATAACAAAGTGGATAAAGAAATTGTAAGAAAAAATTTGGAACAGACAAAGAAGAAATCAATCACTAAATTGAATAGGAACAGGGAAGAATATACAGAGCAAAGAGCAGAGGGATTTACAAAAAATTACAAGGCAGTAAGACACAAGGAACAACCCAAATATAGAAAGCAAAAATTAGAAAAAGTCCATGTTAGAAATATTAAACGACCTTTAAAATTTACAGACACGGATCATGATAGCAGTAATAACACTGATGATACGACAATGCGGAGGAATAATGACATTGACGGAACTAACTGAACAAACCGGATTTATAGATTTACAAATTAGAAATCAGGAAATACCTAAGGATAGCGATATAGTACTACATATGATTGACATTCAACAACTAGAAGACATTATCAATGGTATGACCGACAATATAATTTTAATGAAATTACCAAATAAGGAGATATTACAAAGGGAGTTGTTAGACGTAAGGAATAAGTTACTGACGCTTATGCCAATTAGAACTAGAAACAAGCGAGGATTAATTAATGCAGTAGGCAGTATGTCAAAATGGCTCTTTGGTACAATGGATGAGGACGACAGACAAAATATACAAGCACATCTTTTACGGACAAACGATACAATTAACCAACAAATCAAAATAAATGATTATTTCGCCTCAGCTATTGAACATCTCAAAGAAATTGTTAAAAGTGATAGAGTAAAAATAGAAAAAGAGCTGAACTCAATAAACAAATTCATGTATGACGAATATAAACAAAATTTATACTTAGATCAATATACAAAAATTCAATTACTGAAAAGTAAAATTGAACACCTTCAAGAAAACATTGTATCAGCCACATATGGGATAATACATCCAAATATATTAACAAGTGAGGAAATAATAAAATATAATATCGATTATAATAAACTTAAATATCTACAATTAGGCACAGTAGTTCTAAATAATACATATTTAGTTTTCGGCATAAAAATACCTAAAAGCTTTGAATATGTAAAAATAAGAGCCGTCATTCCTATACCCAATAAAGAAAAAGAAGAAATAGAAGCCAAAATAGAAGAGATATTTACTTACGAAAATAAAAATTTAATATTTGAAGAAAGTAAATCATTGAAAGGAATGAAACTTAGTATAATCACTGTATTTTAAGAAATAATTGTCATCTCACAAAAAATAGAGAACTGGAAATATTAGAAATAAACATAAAAACTATTGTTGTTAAAAACGCAATAAATTTACAGCTTAATCACTCATGTTATCAAGAACAACCCATTATAAGTGGAAACTACTTAATACGATCTAATAATTGTTCTATCAAAATTAACGACTACTATTTTTCTAATTATATTGAAAATATAAAAGAAAATATTGTAAGCTTAAAATATGGAGATATTCGGAATTTTACGAAAAGAATTACCTTTGATGAAATAATAGAGGAGCATAGATCAAACATAGAAAGCATTTTTAAATTGAGAATTCATAGTAAAATATCGAATATATGCAATATGATAAGTATAATTATAATTGTAATGATAGTTATTGTTATTATCAATAAACATGAACGTATAACAATCAAATTGAATACACGAAGTCAGGAGAATTCGAATCTAAAGGGGGGAGAAGTTACATATATTAACAGCTACACAAAAACACCTGACGGTGCAATTGATAAGTATGAAGAATTCTTGAATCAAATTAATAAAGTTGAAACATAAAACCATTTCCGGCATATTGCAAAAGTTGTACACAAAAAGAGAAATTGAAAATCAAAAAGACACCAAATTTCCGAGAATTAGTAAATTGGGGAACATATTGATTAGCAAGCAGTTTTATTTAGTTCACATGGAACAAATTGATTAGCAAGCAGTTTTATTAAATTCATATGCCAAAAGTAATTAGTAAGCAAATATTGTAACTAGAATATAAGCTTCATTTTAAATTGAATAAATAATTTAAGTCAGTCTGATTCGAGAGCCCAAACCCACTTGTTGTCTTTTGGTTAATCGGGTAAAACTATTTTTTAAAAACGCCCGGACGCACGGAAATTACTTGAATCATGCGGCCATCTTCGTTTCGGTCATTGTCCATACATACTTTCATACATACTATTTCGGTTGTCTAATGGAAAATAAACAAATTAATTATAAACGTGTTCCTCATCGTTAAAGAATGAAATTAACACAATATAAAATGGATAAGCTATTTGAACAGCTTAATTTAGTTGAAATGTGTGTTTTCTGCACATTTGTATGAGTTTCCTCGCCGTCCGGCTTTCAGTTTTGTGATGTGTACGACCCCCTGCACACCCCCCATAAAGTCATTTTGTTCAAAGCGGGGTGCACTCTCGCGAAGTCAACGCAAGAGAGAAGTTTTGCCAAAACCGACATCGATAGTTTTCGAAAACTATCGATACTGGCGACGGTTTTCAACTATTGATACTATCGATAGCATCCCAGCTCTAACTCGTATCGTTTCATTCCTACGTGAACGTAAAAATTTGTACTTAAACTGGCTGAACCAATTAGAAATGCCAAACTTAAAGGATAAATCGCATACTGGCCAGAAACACCGGTCTAAATCTTCTTCGCGATGTACTGAGGAAGACGTGCGAAAAAATAATTTTGTGTCTATACCGAATACAATTAAACTTAGCATGCTGAACAGTGGGCTTCTTTCGTTTGAGAAAATCAGATTGGAAGCTAGAGATGAGAACAACTCCTTTTCGAAAACTATACCACACTTTCCAATAAATAAGGCGCATTTTCTTAAGCTGTGCGAATTACGTAGAAAATTTCCTGTGCTTTATAAACTTGAATTTCAAACGGCTGCCAGAGTGGAAACAAATATGTGTAGACACGCATTGAGGAAAAACAATCAAGAAAAAAACCAGAACTCTAAATGCATTCCTTATGATTACAACCGCGTTGTCCTCAAAAAGACATCAGGCGTTCCTGATTCAGATTATATTAATGCTTCATATGTTGATAGTCTTCTGAAGCCGAACGCATATATTGTTTCTCAAGGTCCAGTTGAAGAAACTGTCAATGCTTTTTGGCAGATGGTATGGCAAGAGAATATAAGTGCTATAATTATGCTTACTAAGACGTTTGACTTTGCCAAAGTTATGTGTGTTCAATATTGGCCTCCAAACATGGAAGTACATGAAACTTATGGAGATATTCATATAAATATTGTACGCGAAGAACAGCTTGCTAATTTTCACATCAGAACTTTCCGCTTGTACAAAGTAAACGAAATGAAAGAAATTGCCGATGAACGCCTTATATTGCAATTCCATTACACAGAGTGGTATTCGCATTCGTGCCCATTTTCTAATGCGATCTTGGAATTTCGACGTCGAGTACGTTTAGTTGTGGGAAATATCATTAAAGGTGACGATATTAAGGGGCCAATGCTCGTGCATTGTAGCGACGGAGGCGGTAGATCTGGGGTATATTTGTCTATTGATGCAAATCTAGAATTGGCGGAAGAAGAGGAATGTTTCAATATTTTTGGTTATCTGAAAAAACTACGGCAGTCTAGAAAGGGACTGGTAGAAAATGTGGAGCAATACAAATTCACCTACGATACCCTAGAAGAGCATGTAATATGTGGAAGAACTTGGTTTCCTGTATCCGAACTCTCCGACCGCTTAAAAGTTAAAGCCCGGAGAAATCCTCTTACAAAAATGAATGAATATCAATCAGAATATGACAAAATTTGCAAGCAGACACCTCGATTTACAATAGGCGACTGCGCCGGGGGTCATAGAGCTGATAATCGAGACAAAAATCGCGATGTGTTGTGTGTCCCTCCTGATAATTTTCGACCATATTTAACTTCTTTTCAGGGAAATGCTTTTACCGACTACATAAATTCGGTTTTTGTGGACGGATATACCAAACCACGAGAATATATAGTTACGGAATGGCCACTTAAACACACATTAGGTGAATTTTGGTCTCTCGTCTACGATCAAGAATGCTCCGTAGTCGTTGTTCTATGCCAACCACCTCTGATCTCTCAGAATTTCCCTTCATTTTGGCCACATAAATCAAAAATAGAGAAGTACGGACCGGTATTCTCTGTTCATAGTGTTTCTTCCAAAAGCTACGCTAATATTAAACAATGGGAATTTAAAATAAATAAAAAGATTGTATCTCTAACAGAAATGATGGCAGGTGTTAAAGCTCCCACCAAAACTGTTCAGTTATTTCAACTCGCATGTTGGCCAATGGGGCATAAAGTACCAACCTCCACCAACTCACTTGTTTACCTGATGAATATGGTAGAGGTTTGGAGACAGAAAGTTGATTACGGTCCCGTTTGTGTAGTTTCTCCAGATGGTCGAAGTCGTGCTGGAGTTTACTGTGCAGCTAATGCATGTATTGAACAAGTTATTCAGCATGGAGAAGTTGATGTTTTCCAGGCAGTTAAAACGGTTCGCCGACACCGACCGCAACTTGTTGAAAATATGACAGAATACAAATATTGTTACGACTTAGTTTTACATTATGTTCTTCATTTTCTTAAAAAATAAACGTCTAATGTAGGTATTGTGCATGATTCAATAATTAAAGGTTTGCTCATTAGTGACAGAGTTTTAACACTCGATTAGCTCCCTTAGGCCGGTGTTTTGCAGAAATTTTGGTTGGCAAACTGCGTGCAATTGTTATTGCAGGAAACTCGGAGAGAGAGCGAGGTTGACTCACAGCAAACTAATTTTGTTTGGTCAAACTGCGGTAAATTCGGTGTTGTCGTATACAAGAATTTTAGATAATCGTTATACACAAAAATTGCCGTGATACCGAAAGCCAGAGAACTGAATTTATGCTGGAGGAGCTTCAAAGATTAGGACACACTTAATTGCCTATAAGATATCGTAAAAATATATTAATTGTGCGCGTTATGTACATCTGAAATTTTCATTTCGTGTTGGCAATAGCCATGAAAACCATAATGAACGTGCAACCCTGTGCCAAACTCGACATAACCACCGCCGAGCAAACTAAGCAGCCGCCATTTAATTTGGCAAACAAAAGTTTGTCTGCATAACACCGACCGTACACACAGTGCCTTGCTAAAGGAGCCGATTTTGTCAAGAGGGAGCGAGAAAACTGTTGCGTTGTTTGAGCAAACCTTTTATTATTGAATCATGGGTATTGTGTGCATAGTAAAATTTTAAGCATGGTTTGGTGATTGTAATTTATGTTACTTGTAATAAAAATTGGAGCATGTTTCCAATAAATAAACTGGGATTAATACACTCACTCCGCACATTAAGCGCCTATTCATTGTAGTGTAATCGTTTGACATTCTAAAGCTGAAATTAAGCTGAAATTAGTCAAGAACGCAGAACGTATACTTAAACGCAGTCTGTATACGCAGAATTTCGTCGATTACTGGAGCCCTCAGTGTTGCTTACTAGATCGTGTCAGATGACTCGGGTGTACGTACCGGTAGGTTTACGTTCTTGACTAATTTCAGCTTTAGTCAAGAACGTAAACCTACCGGTACGTAAACCCGAGTCAGTTGACACGATCTGTCTTACCAGAGCGCCATGTAAATGAAAACTAAACACCGCAAAATTTTTCTGTAGTTGTAGCCAGTGTTGCCGCCGCTCAAAGAACTTTCTAACCAAGATTAGACGAAAAGGTTACCAAATGTAAGGAAAAATAACCACTTTTTTTATTATATTAACAATTCAGGTTATCACAAATTCTTTTATATAGTACGTATAGACAAATTTTACAAACCAAAGAAAATCAATTTTTATTTGCATTTTTGAAAAGTAAACCTTTTAAGGCTGAAAATAAATGAAATACATTCATATATATATATAAATACATATTTTAGAAAATCAGGCTTCCCTTATTAGGTGCGTATGTTTTTTTTGTTTTCTAGAGGAGGCACAATGCATTGAAAGTCGGAAAGTGTGGGACTTGCCTTTCGGCTCACCGCACTAAAAACCCACCCCTGCTCCGATTCCCTCGCTCCGTGGAACTACCGTTAGGCATTACTTCGCTGAGGGGGAGCGGCGTATTGCCTCTCTATAAAAACCTGCGGATTTGTTCCGCTCGACGCAATTTAGTTAAAATGGTGTTTGCCATATTGCAAACAACGGACCTCCCCACCTTCATCCTCGAGTCATCCCTTTCCATTGCAAACCTCGGACAGACAAAAAACAGTGTTCAGCGTCTTCAATAACGTCATTTGCCAGAAGGTGCAGTAAGGATCGTCTTCGTGTTTGAATTTATACAAGTAAGATTTAAAACAACCATGTCCCGTCAGTATTTGGGTTAAGTGGAAGTCCACTTCACCGTGCCGTCTTTCTAGCCAGCTTCGTAAAGAAGGAATTAGGCGATATGTCCGTACCTTACCTGAAGTGCTCCATCGATTCTGCCACCTCTGCAAACAATTTGGCTTCGCGGCGTCACGAATTGTCTTATTCACTGTGGTTTCAGCCACCTCTCTTGCCAAAATGTCAATTGGGCACAGAGCCCAGATATGACACGCGCTGCTTAGGTGCTCTGTATGTTAATATCTTCGTAAACATTACCAGACTCTAAATGACGTTTTTAAATAAGTACATATGTAGGTACACAGTTTCCAACTTCTTTGTAAGAATCAATGAAATACCTAATCACATTGTATATACATATTTTATAATTAAGATTAAACAATTAAAAATTGGACTGCATTTTAACTATATCGTCGCACAGTGCGAAATACCTTGTATACGCCAAACGCAGTACCGCGTATACGATGGTAAATAAATTTTACAAAAGAGCAAAAAAACCGATTTTTTCAAAACTGTGGAATGGTATTTCCCTTGAACCTACTTGCTATAAGACTATTATTATTAATCTTAACTTAAATTAATAAAGTAAACAGTATTGGAAAAATAATAACCAAATCCCTTTTGTATTGTACATACATGACGTGGTATTGGATTCCGCATATACGAGGTATTTATATCAAATAAAACACCTCTTTGAGGTAAAATTTTCGAGTGACGAAAGCTGAACTAGAAACACAAAATTTATGATATCAATTTCGTGACGAAAATTATACGAATTTTTTAACTGCCTTTGAAACGTACGGGAAATCTTTTATTCATACGAATCGTTGCAAAAGTTCTGTTTTTTATTTTGTGTTTCTAGCAGTAGACGCTATTTTGGAGCGTTCCGAATAAATAAAAAAAAAGATTTTCCGTACGTTTCAAAGGCAGTTAAAAAATTCGTATAATTTTCGTCACGAAATTGATATCATAAATTTTGTGTTTCTAGTTCAGCTTTCGTCACTCGAAAATTTTACCTCAAAGAGGTGTTTTATTTGATATCAATTATTTTGGGGTAGCAAATTTAAAATCGACCAAAATACAAACAATAATCTAAATGTTTTATTTTTCTCAACTAAATTGCTAAAAATATCTACATCTAATTTATGTATTCAAAGCGATGTGTCCATTGAAACATATAATTTTTCGTATACGGAATAAAGCAAAAAACAGGGTACGAAATAAACTAAATTGTACGTTACTATTTCGTTTCGTTTATTACTTCAACAGTTCGTTACAATACGAAAAACAAACGGCTGAGTTCACTTTGGCGATAGTACACTACAGTAGTTTAGTAGTCACAGACGAAACAACAAACGAAATGAATCGTGTAGAGAAAAATATATGTATGTACATTAGGCTGGGTCGAATTTGTACGGGGGAAATTAAAAGTCATTTGACCGCATTGTAATAGTAATATTATGATGTCTTAGGTCTAAGCCAATTGTTATTAACCAAGAAAGATTAATTAAAAACTTATCTTTAGCCCGCGCAATTGAACCAAAGTGTATGAATTTTGAAAATGAAACTTTGGCTTGTAATATCTATGGAATGGTTATTGTTATAAACAGGACGATATATCAAATTAAGGGCTATTAAATTTAGTACCTCATGTTCATTTACCATTTTTCAAAAAGGCTACACGTTTTTAAGATATTAAGATAAAACTTATAAAAACTATAATTTTCCCTTATGAATTTTCAATTCTTCATTACTTCAGCAACCAAGTGAAAAATACAAAAAAAAAGAGACGAGATTTATTTCAAACGTTTTAATGTTTTCGGATGTTTATATAATATTAAATCATTTTAATATTATATAAACTATATGGACTTGGTCACGCCGATTTGGTCAGTTTTCAAGATCGTGGTGGTATTGTCAAAGATTAGGAATCGTTTGACAAGTTAACAGAAGTTTTTTTCTCAAGTAGTTTTGCTCAGTGCACGGTTAAAAGTTTCGGTTTTAATTTTAAACTTTTTGGACTACATACATATATGACCAAACTAAATTCAGTTTCAAATACAAACCTTCCAAGACTAAAAAAAGAGAGCACCCATGTTGGGTTTAGAATTTAAACAGTTCGGTTTAAATTTTAACCCAAATATTTTCATAATTAAGAATAAAAAAAAGATCTTAAATTTCATGCTCCGTCTGATGGGGTTGAACCCGGACAGCCTTGGTAGCAACCAATTTTATCAAGCATCTTTGCACACTCAACTACAGCCACGCATGTATATTAAAAAGTGTTATTTCATTTTATGTACAAAATTTTGCAAAATAGATATTAAAATAATTCAACTTGCAATGAAAGAGAACAGAAGACTTGGCAAGCAGTTAATTTTATTTAAAGAAATGGCGTGTCGTCCATTTCCGTTATAGCATGGCATATATTTAGGCGCAATATTTAACTTCTTCTGTCGGGGCGACATCTGGAGTCTTCTAATTAATACAACGAGGTTCATATCTAGACTAGGTTGATATCTAGAATTTGCCACAAATAGCTTTGCTACACTATCGCCGGCGTCTTTAACAATTTTATAGTGGTTTTACGTTCTTTGGCAAATTACGCTATGTTCGCCATAAATCTTACTATTTTTTGACCGCCTTTGAATCAAGACCCCTGGACCATATGGGGAATTCATTTATATTTTAAATTGCATTGTCATCGTGATTGGAACTATGCTGAAAATTTCAAGTCTCTAACTTGTCGGGAAGTTAGTTTAAAATCGATTGAAAATTTCCGCGATTTCCGCGCGATGACCAAGTTAAATAAAAGCTTATAAAAATTAAAAAAGGCAGTAGTCCCAGTGCGGTTTAAAAATTAAACCCAAATTTTTGACCGTGTGGCAATTTATACATATGTATGTATGTAAGTAGTAGCGGCACATTGGGTGAACTAAATGCATTCATACATACATATTTATGTACAACTGTAGGTAATATTGTACGCGTCTTCCTAGGTAGGTGCTGGTGATAAACCCATGTACCATAGTTAAATGCTGTGTACATACCTGCAATTAAAATGGGGAAAAATGTTAGAATTTCGGCATGTGACTGAAAAAAACTCTAAAATACACACAAATTGTGGTTTCCAAGACATGTACTAAGTGATTAGCACAGCTGCATCCTTCAACTTGTCAACTCGCGGGAAATTTCCCGATTAGCAGAGAATTTAGATTTGAGTGGCAATCGGGGAATGGGAACTTTTTTCGGGGC